AAGGTAAACAAACACAAAATATATAGCCTGTCATTTGTGAGACTTGTTAATTTGTTATTGCACTCAAAAGGCACCATATATTCAGTGATTCACATAAACTTTGGTAAATTACAGAAACATTATGGGAATATTTTTGGTATTTACCGACACTGAACGCATTTTTGATAATATCTTAGCTGTCAATATATAAACTATAGCACAGAAACCGAACACGCACAGTGAAACTAATATTTTCCTACTTAATCTGAGTGCAAAGTGAAGCAAAAGAGAGTGCCACATCTTTACATTTATGTCCCCTGCAATTCTTGTCCCAGGAATAAAAAATACACAGAAAAGGACATTCAATAAACCATAGTCACCACACATTTGTAATAACCTTCTTAATGGCACTCTATATATGTAGAATGATCAACTCATTTGAATGGAATAATAAAACTTCAATATACAAATAGAGTAGAATAGAATTGCCACAACAACTTGCAGGCATAATCCTAGTATTGTTCTAAAGCTAATCTAATACTGTGATGTATGGTACTAGATCTTGGTAACCACCGTACTAAGGAGGGTCCACTGTCATGGCTGAAGGGGAGGGATAATATTCTTAGGAGAAATATGAGACCATAGACTTGGGACAACATATTAGATGCGAGACTTCGTTGTCCATCTCAACAAATTTGATAACATGGCTCCTCGCTTATATACAGGTGCTAGAACGTAAAAGATAAGATCTGCTTAAAAGGAAAGATGAAATATCATTCGTCCTAATACCCTTATTAATGCTGATGTCATATGCTCTGACTTTCTCCTGTTACTAGCTGGCTGGGCCCCCCATATGCACATGGCAAATTCAAAACAATACTCTCAACATAATTTTTCGATAAAGGGCGCTTTTATTAACTCAAATGTAGCATCGAGCGGATACAAAACATAAAGAGCGACACCTGGCCTCTGCATAGCTAAGATGCGCACAGCCATCAAACAAACAGTCTGACAAAAAATATAAAAACGACAAAGTGGCAACAGTAAAGCCATATGGAGCCGAAACTATGCCTATGTCGACGGAGAAGGTGGACCGATTCGGAGATTATGCTGCCACCCATGTTGGGTAAAAACCTCCCTGGCCACCCGCTCCAACCGCATACACACCACTTTGAACAGCGATTGGTACTCCGTTCGGTGCAGAGTAGACCACATACGAAGCCAGTGCGTACAACGGTAAGTAACCTGCATAGGAGAAGAGAGTTTGCCATTAAAAACACAATCATTTCTACATAGCCAAAGTGACCATAGTAAGGCAGACGCTCCCACCCGTATTAGCGTACTAAAAGTATTTGTGTAATGAAATTACATTGAGTTTTTGTTGCTGATATAGGGCTTTAGGCTAGCTGATTTCCATGATCCATGTTTTCTTATGTAGTTATCCTTCTTATCCTAATTTACCCATGTTACTCATAGCATTTATTGTCTTGTATATTAAATATATTCTTCTTGAAATGCACTTGCTACCCGTAAATAAAACTATATTTACTCTGTAGGATCAACTTGGAAGGGTTACTCTTCTTTCAGGCATCATATTCATAATGTTGGGATTTGGTTCCGATGGCGCGCCTTCGCTAGTCCAGACAAGAACTCCTCCCCCATCTGTTCTGGGTGTGCCAAATATTCCTAGTTCCTTGAGTGGATATTCTTACACAATCATGAAACTAGGACCACTGCAGTTTACCAGGAAAGGCCTGTCAGTAGCGAGTACATCGGCATGCCTCTCCTTTGCGGTATGTCCTTCATTTCATCGAAAAGTATTTGCCAAAGGTTTTCTCTTACACAAAATCTTCATTATCTTGTGTTTTCTAATTTCTAATGCTTTTTGCACCCTCTAGCTGGTGGCATACATCAGACAAACACGTCCTGAGTGGAAAATGCACTTTTTTCAGTTTGAGATGCCAGTAGTGAAATATTTAGTTATTCATTTAGTTACTGTTTGTTTGGGTGCAGATATTCCAAAGTGCAAGTCTCTGCTTAACCACAACCACTCCTGAGCAGCTTGCTTCTGCTTTGTGGTGGTTTATGATTCCACTGAAGCTTATTGGTGCGCCAGTACCCGAGATAATACTTACACTGCTATTATCTTTGAGGTTCATTAATCTAGTATTTGATGAGGCAAGTATATGGCACTTTCTTTTAATTATACAGATACATTGCTATTTGAAACCGAACTTTGAAGTATAATGTTGCTCAAATATTCTACTAGGTTCGCAATTCTGCACTGGCAATTGTAACACGTCGGATTGATTGGAAAAAGCTGGCCACTATGGAAACTATAGATAGTAAGTACTTTCTATATCTCTAATCTGGCTGCCAGGGTTGAATCAATAGCTTCACATATTACGTGGGAAAAACCTGAATTAAACTTTCCTTTTTTACATCATTTGCAGTTTTTTTCAACTATGTCCAGCGAATTTTCAAAAATATATTTGATCACGCGGAGCAAATATCCAAGGTCAGTTCATTTTCTAATTTTCACCTTGGCTGACAAGTCACAATGAATGTATTGTGATCTTTGACTATTCTCAAAAAAGCTAAATTGGTGAACATGGCCGCGTGCTATTCACTGTGTTCATACATTGTTTTATGAACTAATCAGATCTTTCTATGAAACCATCTACCAGTTTTTGGTCACACACACTCCCTCCGTCCTGAATTACTTCATAGATTTGTCTGGATACGGATGTATCTAGACATGTTTTAGTGTTAGGTGCATCCGTATCTAGAAAAATCTAAGACACGCTTTTTGGGACGGAGGTAGTATTTACTAAGTATAAGTAGGAATTATTAGCATTAATACGAGGATATATCTTGAGTAGTTCTGCAACATGCACTAGCATTATTGTAAAACCAAATTCACCTGGTCTTCTAAATTGAACGCCAGGGTTTGAAAGGAATTAGAATTTGAACTGAAATTCCATGTGCATGTTGTTACCATATGGTGTTATGTGCAACCTGTTAAGGCCAAAGAGGAGCAACATTAGCCGTAAGCCCGGAATGTTGCTACTTTCATAGAGCCAGCTGAATATTACTTATCTATCAACTATTCTTTCATTGTTGCTATGGTCTTATGTAGTTTGGAAGGTTATCTTTAGTAGTTGGAAAGTTACACGGGATAGTTAGGTTGGCTGTGATCTTCCTTGATTGGCTATTCCAGGTCATGTCCTCCACAAGCGGTGCCTTCCTTCACCAGTAGTGCCACAAATCGTTGCTGTGCAACCTCCCCCTGAGGGATAATCTTACCCTGATGAACTTTTACCCCAGTTATGTAGTACTCCTATATGCACTTAATAACTGTTTGCTGAGACAGTAATACCAACCACTACGCTGTTAAATTTTGCCCTAGTTAACAGTGGGTTTTTTATGCGAAAATAGTCCTGGTCGTGTTGTCTTAGGATGGATGTCCGGAAGGAAAACTGAAACACACATGGACTTGTGGTTGTGTATTAGGAATGCATTTGGCCCAAACTGGAGTAGAAATCACACAAGCGAAACATGACCATCACAGGCTGTCTGGTATTTAGATGGCTTTTTGGCAGAATTTGATTGAGCAGTAACTGCTTAAAGAAACAAACTGAAAGGAACATTGAACACAGATGCATCCTTAATCAATAATGTAGTCTCATTGATATGGGTAGCTCATAAGAATGGTGAAACTCGATTACATCATGGGCAATATACTGCATTTCAGGCGCGTAACTTCGTCTAAATCATCATACTATGGAATCTACTTATATGGAACCCATATGTAACATGACATTACTTTGTAACATGACATATAGTACTTGATTACCTCTGATTCTTTCTGATTTGGGCAGGCAATGGTTGCTCGAGGATACCGCGGTGATCCTAGCAAGCACAAGATCTACTTCCTCGCGGAGTCTTCATTTGGCATCGTGGATGCATTGTCGTTGCTTTGTTTACTTGCTGTAATGGGCCTGGCTTCCTTTTCAGAAAGATTGGTTTGATGGTATCAGGTATTCAAGAGCTATTATTATATTTCATAATCGTGGTGGTTCATTCAAACTTACTAACATCTTGATGGTTTCAGGAGCTGTTCCAGATTGTCATGTGACCATCATACCCCACATGTTGCTCAAAATTGTGATTCACAGAGTCAATTTTGGGACATCACGGGAGCAGCACATTCGGCAAGTGGAAACAAAGCAGTGGCATGGACAGTGGCCAAGAACAAGTTTGTAATTTCTTTGTACAGCGTGACTCACGTGGACAAAAGAATAACATCCAAAAACCGTTTACACACACGTTGGGTTCTAAGCAGGTGAGCTATATGTGCTCTGTATGCAAAGGAGGGCATCAGTGTTACTCCCTCCGTCCGAAAAAGCTTGTCCCTAGCTTTTTTGGATGGAGGGAGTACATTTGAAGTAGGTTACATATTGCATCAGCTGATTTCAGTTGTTTTCTGCGCAGGTGCTAGGGTCAAATGACCACTAACCGTTTTAGGGGCACAACCTGCGTGTGATCATGGAAGGGTACAGCTGACGCTAGTGAAAGCGAATGGTGTTTATTAGTGCACCGTTGTCAAAGTGGAAGAACCTCAAATATCTGTGTATCAAATACTCTCATCGCACTTGAGAGCATTGACTTGTACTTCCATTTATTTTAGTTATGACTTTTAAAACAATTGCCACCAATTACTATCGTCAAATGTGAGACAAAGTGATGTAGGTGTGATGCATGGTTGGCACAATCTGGTCTGGAGGTTCAGACAACTAAACTTATCAACCACCACAGTTAAAAAGATCCTAGTTATGATATTACAGGTGCCAATTACTTTTTTTAACACTAGCAGGACCCTGACTTCCATTAGATAGGCATGACATCACATTTTACATCAGGACACAAATTACAGATCAGTCGCAACCTTCCTTGGGGACTCTTCCCAGATATATGATGATGCGGAAGTTGGAGAGCATGCTGAGTCTTGTTTGGATCATTTACAGCGCTCCACCAGGATCACTGATAACGCCCAGAAAGTCGTCTTTTATCGTGCCGATGCAAAACTGATACAAAAAAGAATCAAACTATAAGATAATGGTGCATCCAAGATTAAAAGGTGAGAGGATGGATACATATATGCAATTGTAGTTTCATGATGAAATTGTTTTCTTATTTTCGGTATCTGGTTATGGTCCAGGAAGACAGAAATCCAGGAAAATATTCAACATTTTTGTGAAACATCTTCTCATAGATTAGTGCACTATCAGTTTATGTGCCTCGGGTAGTTACAACATATGCCAGAGGAAAGAACATCAAATTTTACACCACAAAAAAGAGATCTTATTTGCATCTTAAATTCATAGTCATATGCTGGTTTTCTTGGACTGATTAAGTGAGTTATATCAAGATTGCTATTTGCGAACAAAACTACACATGCCTGTTCATGGTAGGTAATTAGAGACTACAAAGAATTGTATGCAATGATCTTAATGGTACTTCATATGGAATTAGATCATCAAGTCGAATATCAGTAACATATGGTAGTTACTCAGAGGCCCTGCCACAAAATTCTAAAGGACTTGAGCACTTCCAATTCAGAAACTTCCATAAAATAAAGGGTAACCAACTTACAATTTCTGTTGCGTCAACACGAGTGCCTATAATCTTCAGACGAACCTCACTTTCCTTTTGAATTTTCACCTGAACCAGACAAACAAGCAACTCCCACTTAACACAAAGAAAATACCATTGCAAATCATTTTCAACAGAACAATTCCTTTTAATTTCATAACGATACCCATTCATATTCTTATTTGAGAGAATATTTATATAGACATATCCACGTTTGCAGGAAGCATACGGATCCCACCATTATATGCAGGAAAAAAAATACAAGCACACAATTTCATTTCGAAGATGCCACAATGAGAGTAAACCAACAAGTGGATACTTCATGACCTACCAGTAGCCAGTAGTCTTTATATTATCTTCACATTTATTTACCATAACATAAAAGGGAGTTGGTGATGGTGGTTGGAGGCAGCAGTGGCTCGTTGCTCACCTCACTCACACAAAATAAAATTTGCCTACCTGTAAACCTTCTTATCCCATATTTTTTCTTGTGTACTTTGTCTCTTTTCTTTATTCTCTCAACAAACTGAGCAACCTTTTGTGCAACTCCTAACAAACTAAACAAAAAATTCCTTTATTTTCAGTAAACTAATAAGATATCATAGTTATTAATTGTGACATGTGGTATCTCATGATTTAATTTCTCAATAAATTGTGACATGTGGTATCTCGTTGATTTAATTTCTCAACGAGCCAAACAACCTCTTATGAAACTCTAAACAAATTTCCTTCCTTTAAGAAAGGAAAAGCAGTGTAAATTTGATACATTTACAAAAAATATAAAGGTCAAAAGAGATTAGTCCAAGTAACGTGTTTTAAGCCTAAGTTGTATTGGTAAAGCTATATATTTTTACATGACATGAAGCCGTATTGGTGAAGTCCGCAGTAACAAGCGGGGGTAGTTACCAAAGATAAAAAGAACAGTAAGAACCACTTATATGCAGAAAGAAGCATACCGATCCATCCGAAGTAGTGTAGTTTGGCACATCACCAGATTGGAACTCCATATCGTCAGGAATCAACTGCATACAGAAACAGAACAACACACAAGCACACTTAATTTTTAAGTGAACCGACACAATTCGAGTCCACGGCACAACCAAATCAGATGTAAGAGCTTGCACTGAACCATTAACCACACAGAAATTCTAAATTTTATCGATTTATTCCACCGATTTGGCAAAGCAGCTCCAATTGATGGCAAGTCACTCACATGGTTTGACACAAAGATCTGCACAGGCCCAGCCTCAGCGAAGAACCCCATCTGCAGAACCAACAAGATAAACAATCCAGTCAGTAAACCGGGCACGCAGGCACTGAGCACATGACGCACTTGCGAAGAAGGCGAGTGAAAATCCACCTTGTTGACCATGGTGACGACGGCCTCGAGGATCTCGCCCTTGAAGGGGCGGAAGACGACGCACTGGTACTTGACGGGGAACGTGACGAAGCCCGTGCCCTCCCGGATGAGCCCCTTGCCGATGTCCTCCACCCCCGTGATCGCCACCACGAAGCCGTGCCGCCCGCTGCGAGGAAGCCAGCCCTAGGGTTGAGCGAACCGCGGGGGGAGCGGGCGGGCGGGCGAGCGAGAACGACGGAACCCTACCTGCAGGTGCCCTCGACGTCCTTCATGAGCTTGGCGACGAGCTTGTCGCGGAGGTGCGGGCCGAAGTGCCGCGGGTGCAGCTGCATGTTCCGCTCCAGCACGATGTGGAAGAACATCTCGGCCTCTCCTCCTCCTCCTCGTCGGCCGGCGGCGGCGGCGGCGGCGAGACAGTCCTTTCGCCGAGTCGGGAACGCTGGCTAATCGATGGATGCCTCGCCCCGTGAGCTGCGGGGGAGTAATAGCCCTGAGGCGCGACGCTTTGGGCCGTCGATCTGACCTCCAGCGCGTCTCAGCCGTCCAATGGGACAGCGTCAGCGTAAGACACTCACCCCTACTAGTGCTCCTCGGTTTGGTCTCTGATCCTTTTTCTCTGCTCTCGCCGCTGGAACCTGACGGAAAAACCCTACCTCGCCGTCGCCCCATCGTCGAACTTCCCGATGGCGTCGAGGTGCGCGGCGAGGCTTCCGCACCCGCCGTGCGCGGCGCCGCAGCACGGTTGGGCGAGCTCGCGGGTCTCGGCACGCCCGGCGCAATCCGGCGCGTCAAGTATGTTTTCCCCCCTTTGAATATCTCTGTTGCTTGCTTCAGATGCAATGTTGCGGTGTCTGGCCGGGAATATGAGATTGGCCGTGCGTTTTGGCAGGAGGGCGTGCCGTCGCGTGCGCCGTCAGCTTCAGGCCATGTATCGACATTCACAAGGTCAGTAGGAATGGCCCTTGCTCCGTTGTTGTATCAGTGTGTGACTAAGGTGCTCTGCACTTTGCTATATGATTGCAAATTGATGCTCAAATTTTCGAGGGAACGCTAACCGTTTCACTGTGATGTCATTCACAAACTGACTAATAGTGTAAAATAAGGGAACCACGTTCAGTGATTCATTTATCTGTACAGCTAGACCATCTCTGTGCAGTCATCAAAGTTTAGGCACTGCTGGCATTAACATCATCGTTTATCTGATAGGTTTGTTTTTGCAAATTCCTAGGGGAAAGTTAAACAGATTGTTGGCTCTACTCTCCGGGATGCATCGGATGATGGCACTGCACTGGTGACGAACTTTGAATCAGACAAGTCTCCAGCAGAATTTGCAAATATTTATAAAGAAGATGGACTTGTTGGTGGACATGTAATAATGCTTGGCGGAGACCCTGCAAGCCGTTCTGCTGCCCTGGAAGCACTGCATGCATATCCTGGTGAGAATGCGTTATCTAGTTATTACTTATTACTAGAACTAGTATTGTTCATTTGGTTTGCTTTCTGTATTTGTTTATTGTTCACTGTCTTTTCTGATGTTTCTGAAATAAACCACATTTTTGTTTGTATTCTGTTACCTTTTGTGAGATCTGGATGTTAACTCTTTATCGTTGCTTATGTTGTGTACATGGATAGTATTTAAAAAACTTGTTGAAAGTAAGCATGTTGTACAACTTAATATGGCACACACATCTCAAGCAGTGAAGAGATTTTTTTCATGTTGGGTTTATGATACTCGCCAGCGTCATGGATTTAAAGGTTGACAGGTTATTAACTTCAGTTCAACTTCTTATCTGGTCAAAACCTTCTTTGAGATTTCATACCAAAATTTGGCCTTATTGCAAGAACCCCATAGAATGCCTGTTTACAATTTTTGTTAAGGCTACTATTGCTATCGTAGATTGCTATCAACTTTTAACTTGGGAGAGCCTGTATATCTGCCAGTGGTGCTCATGGAGCATTTTTTTCTGTTGCAAGCCACGATATACCATCAATTTGACATATTATCATAAACATGTATTATCATAATACTAGGTGGTTTGCAAGTTGGAGGTGGAATAAATTTGGAGAATGCAATGTCATACCTTAATGAAGGAGCAAGTCACGTGATTGTAACTTCTGTACGTGTTCATGATCTAATTTGTGTAAATAATACCATTATCTTTTTTTTTCTCATCTCATGAAACCTTTAGACCTCTGTTTGTTAAATGTATTTATGTGTATCAGCTTATGGAGTAAGATTAGGACCTGGCCCACATCATGTTTCTGCTTCCTATTCATATCTTGTTTGTACATAACTACATATGTTGATATGTTAAAATTAAAATTTTCTTCTATGTCAATATTGTTGTTTTCTCAAAACCTGAAATGATGCCAGAGCAAGGTTACCTATAAATCCCATCGATAATCACATATCCACAAGGCCACTGTTTCCAATGGTTTTCTCCACCTTGTGAGTGTTGCCATTGTCACATTTCTCCACCTTCATGTTGCTTGTTTTCCTCGATGTCAAAGACTCCCTAAGAGCCTCAAGGGCTAGTATTTGTTATAACACATTCTTTGGAGTTAGACATTATTATCGGATCCAAAAAAATTGGAATCATCTACCGCCTGCTGCCCAGGCCCTTGTAAAACTTCCCGTCTGTTTGAGTTGCTAATCAGTTTTTGTAGACGACTAATCAGTTGAATATCTGCAACTTATGTATCTGAGACTTTTATGCAGTATGTGTTTAGTGATGGCAAAATGAACATTGAAAGGCTAACGCAACTTGTCGAGCTTGTTGGGAAACAAAGGCTTATTTTGGACCTGAGTTGTCGGAAAAAGGTACGGAATTCATCTTGTATCCGAACTTGGAAGCATGTTAATTCACTGAACATTAGTGCCAATTTGCAATATATTTTTGGTACTGTGACCCACCTTTTGAATTTCATGGGCAACTTAAAGGAAATGTTCAAACTGGTTTCGTCCCTTGTCATCCAAACATAGTGCATTGCCTTACCTGAATGAAATAATACAGTGAACTCTTGATGATCTGTCCCACTGCATAAATAGTAAGCTTCAAAATGCAACATAATCATTTCCCTGTTGGCCACTGTTATCTTACTGACAGCTCTTTCTGTCTTCTGTTTTTCTTACCAAAATCTTTCTGGTTAGGATGGCAGATATGCCATTGTGACTGACAGATGGCAGAAGTTCAGTGATGTCTTTGTGGATGGGCCAACATTAGAACGTCTTGCTGCATATGCAGATGAGTTTTTGGTTCATGGAGTTGATGTGGAGGGCAAAAGGTGAACCATATTTGTTTTTCTGTTTACTTAATCGGCCTTTTGTTGATATGTGGTAGTGTAGTCACCCTTGATGGGATTCAATTGTCTCATTTTTTAAGCTTCCCGTAAGTGTATGCTTTTTGGGTTATGATGGTGTGCTTGCATAGTTCTTCTGGAGTTTCAGAGTTAATTTAATCTGCAGAGATCTTTATGTGCATGCATGTTAGTGTGCATGTGTTCACGCTTCATGCGTAAATTTGAAGACACATTGAACGAATGAAGTTAAGGTTTGCGTGGTTTATGCACTAAGTGATTCATCTATGGAGTTGGTCTTAGAGAAATATTCAGCAAAACCTGCCAAACTAAATTGTTGTACATGGGCCATCTCATCCCATTGAGCATCATCCCAGAACCAAACACACTGAAATGCTACTGTTTGCAGTGTTCTATGTGTATTTAGTTACAGTTCCCTCTTTCTGTAAGTGTATGAGTTACTGGTGACTCGTCACTGGTGCACTTTCTATTCGTTCAAAATATTTAATCTCACAAAAACCAGACATCAGCTGAAATATCCTGTTGATCGTCCTGTTACGGCAGTGTACAAAAGTTCTTTGAGCACATTTCCGTAGTCTAATTTAAGCTATTATATGGATTGCAGGTTAGGAATTGACGAGGAACTTGTGGAACTATTGGGAAGCCATTCACCTGTATGTGAACAATTCTATACTTGATGCATTAGTTTATATTTGATTTTTGTGTTTCTTTCTGTGATTTTTCCATCTTTGTTCTTGAATGCTTTTATCCTTTGTTTTCGCATTGTGACTGCCTTGTGTAGTTATTATATAATTAACAATTAACAAATCAGTCACTTGAAAGGAAATTGAATCAAACACTTTTATACTAGCTAGTTGCTCAACCATTTTTCTATGTTTGATCTTATTGAACTTGAATGCATTTAGGAATGGTATTCAATTAATCATGCTCTACACCAGATGTTCAACTTATGTTGTAGTCACTAAATGTAAATGTTCATGTATATTCAACGTGTGCTTCTATTTTATCTTCGCTTCTGTAGATCCCGACAACATATGCTGGGGGTGTGTCAACGATGGACGACCTGGAGAGGATCAAGAAAGCAGGGAAAGGTCGAGTCGATGTCACTGTCGGGAGTGCCCTAGACATATTCGGGGGAGATTTGCCCTACGATACTGTTGTCCGTTGGCACAAGGAGCAAAACCTGGTTAGCCAACGGTGAAGAAATCAGATGATCTTTTTATAGAGCAAATGATCGAAGTTCAGCTCATGTGTGATCCCCACCTGACCATGGTCAGGTCAGGTTATAGAGCTTTATTGTTTGCTGGACATTGTAGTGTGAACCGCGTAGTGTGAATGTGTCTTGTGTGACATGTCAAAGCTGAAGCGGAGGTGTCAACTCAGTGTCGTAGAGGACCACCCGGTATTCAGATACTGTTCTTCACATTCTGTTTGTATTGTAGTACTGGTAATGGTGAATAAACAGGGGTTGAACTGCAGAAGTGTTACCAAGCCACTTGCAGCATCTGGTCAAAGCTGCCTGAAACTATCAAACTGCCTGTTGTATCGAAGTTATTTAGCTCAACCAACCAGTGGCGCTATTGTCAAAGAGAGGCTGCAGGGGAGCCCAGGATTCCCGGCGCAACAAACGGCAGGTGATGGTGATGGTGATCCAGGAGAGGTGGCAGGAAGGAGACAAAAGGGTAGGAAACTGGAGGTTTCAGTCAAATGAAATTGGAAGCTGGGGAAGGCACCGAATCGCACAACTCATCCTCTATAGTTGAGTAGCTTACCATCCTTCGTACTCTAAAAAATGACACAACGTTTGAAAATAAGCTCAATGACATTTGACCGAACACCTGCTCGGCGTGGTGTCTGCCATGAAGGTTGTCGACAGGGGGGCGGAGTGTAACGGCTCCAGGATGGACAGCTTCGTCATAAAGGCGAGCAGGCGGGCGTGTCGGTGCTAATTGCGGACGTTCGTCAATGCCTCTATGGTGGCCAAAGACGTACAACATTGGCGGCGGAGGTGAAGAGTGCGGATGCAAAGAAGGGGGAAAGGGGGTTGGATGGGTCGGGGGTGTCGGAGTCGTACGTGTCTATTGTCCAGACTCCCGCGAACACCCTCCCCCCCCCCTCCCCCCCGGTCTTCAATTCGCGGGAGAAATCGCGTCCAGACCGATACAGGACCGCGTTGGATAGCTTCCGCGGTCTGAACGGATGCTGATGGTTTGAGAGTCGGTGTGAAGATGCCTTAATTAAATAATGTTTGTTTTCTGTAACCTTTTATCAATATATCGATATAAAATCATAGGGAGTTTGTAAATATAAGAACAGGGGGAGCATATATTTATAAAATGAAGGTGGGAAACTGCACATTCCCCGTCACCTCGCTCTGTGTCGTTTCAGCATGGTCCGCCATCCTTCTTCAGCTACCATTTATAAAATGATCCGCCATCCTTCTTCAGCTACCACGGCGAAAAAATACGCTGCGAGTCCAAAATTCATCTATCCGCTTTCACTGGATCGTGTGGTTAGCCGTATCCGTGGATTTCGTAGGTAAAAGCAGAAGGACAACCTCGTAGGCAAGAGCAGAAGGACAGCCTTTTGGAAGCAAGTGCATGAAAAATTTCACGTATGAAAGCACATTGCGCCCTATGACATGTACATCATTCAACAAAGCGACGTGAGGACGTTGTTGTATCGCTGGTACACAATCCAAACGAGCGTTACCAAATTTTGTGACGTGGTTTGTCAGCTCGAGGCAAGGTGATCATCGGACGCGGCAGAGGACGAGATCGTAAGTTTTGCTTCCTCTTAACACGCTATCGTGGTGTATCACAGGACAGAGGGACGGTCATTTATGTGTACACACTGTTGGATGAAGTTGAGGGGGTGGGGTATGTGTGAAACGACATGATCCGTTGATGAAAAACTTATTAGACATCCGATTAATCTAGTCGAATTTGAGACATGACTGTACTAAACTTAATTTGCATGTTATGTATAGATGATTTGTGTTATTTTCTATCCGAACTTTGATGAATATCGGCCTATTTGCATGAATTTTGTCCGGTTAATTAAAATGCGGATTGAAATATATATGGCTATGTTTGGATGACGGTCTCCTGCATTTGTGTTCGTCGACTAATCATCTGTCCGTGAACGAATGCAAAAGAAAATTTACGGTTGCAGTTGGAGATGTTCTTTAGTGTGTGCACACTGGTAATGTGCGTGGATCTTATATAATTGTACGATTCTCGGTGTGGGATGAGAACCATGAAATTTCAGTAGCAAAACCGAAGAATGATGCAGAATGGTAGTTAAGAGACTCAATACACCTTAACCAATGCTATTAGATTCATCATGAAATGCATTTTCATATGCCATACATTGGGTATATTAAAAGTTTAATTTTTTTCCCTGTACACTACAATAATTGACTTCGACCTGATTTTTTGTATGCGCTATAATTTGGCGAGGAGGGTATTAAGCATGAAGATGCAGTGAACCATCGTAAAAATACCAAGAGTGTAACAACTCTTCAAGGGGTACATAGATAATGAAACTGAATTACTCCCTCCGTTTCGTAATATATAAGAGCATTTTTCACATTACACAGGTACTGAATTAAGACTAATTCTGTTACGGCATCTCCCGTTGCCATGTCGTCGTGGTAACATCGCAGCAACGCATTCGTTCTGACAATCAAGCGTGCGTGGCGGGCAGCAAGCAATGAAGAATGTCTGACGATGCTGCCATGTGCGGGAGGCGCGCTAGACGACATCAGCATAAAAGCACGACAAGACAATCAGTAACGAAAAAGCAAATCGCCCGCGCAGCACGCCACCATACCACACCACCACTGCCGGCCGCTTTATACCGTTGCCTTGCATTAGGGGTTAAATTTCGTGTTATGACTCTTTTCTGAAACCTATTCAAAATTCAACTCTAATTTGAAAAAAATTCAAGATCTGATTCTTATGCTATTATCAAGGACCATGACGATAGGGTATAACAGCCTACCGTCAAGGTCCCTGGCGGTAGGGTTACATGCCTTACCGCCAAAAACCTTTTAAGTATTGAACACAGTATGTGCTCGTGCCTACCGTCAATTGTGCAGACTACCGCCAACCCGGGTGACGGTAGCAATGTTTCCTACCGCCAAAGTCCCTGGTGGTAACCTGTTAGACCCTACCGTCATGGACTCTAGCGGTAGCAAAAAGGTTAGATCTCGAAAAGATTTCAAACTAGGGTCAAATCTCGAATAGGTTTCAGAAAAGGGTCAAAACACGAAAATTTGCCGCGTTAGGGATGGCAATTTTGCCCATGGGTATGGATACCCGCGGGTATCCTACCCGAAAACAATGGGTATGAGCAAGACTTGAAGAGATTTTCTACCCACGGGTAATGGGTACTCATACCCGCAAAATATATGGGTAGGGCATGGGTAAGAAATTATGCCCATAGGTAACCCAATGGATACCCAGAAAAAATTAATAAATGAAAATAACTCCTATAACATGTGGGGTTAGCATCCAACTCATATGGTCCAACCCTAAATCTCATATTCCTTAAACAAGTCATAGCTCATAGGCTCATAATCACCTGCTCGCCACTCCTCATACGTCCTATGTGACTCCTCAAAAAGATGAAATATCGACTCTTCGCTACCAGACTCTTGTCGAACACTCGATCCAGTGATCCCCAATTCCCACCACCGCCTTCCACAACGTCGGCCTTCCACCAACCGCTGCTCATACTCCTCTGATGCTTCCAAGAGGCCATCCACTGGAGGAGACCACATACGTGCTATACTACTATACCATGGTCACTCGAATTTTAAACTTATTTATCTACCTCTTAAGAATTTGAATGCTATATATTGTATCCAATGGATACCCATTGGGTATAGGATACCCCATGGGTATGGGTATGGGTGTCAGTTTATACCCATGGGTATTGAAGCGGGTGGGTATAAAAAGTTTCTATGGGTATGGGTTTGGGTAGAAGGAGGTTGTACCCGCCCATACCCTACCCATTGTAGCGACCAGACTTCAAATAGTCTGATCTCTGTGCTTCGGTGTCATCCCTGGATCAGTAATGCTGACACCACACAGTACTCGGAGGATTTATAATAGAGTAGCAATCACACACTTATTACATCGAGTGTCTCAATAGAGAACTTATTACAATTAATATGGCTTATGGCCATCTAATAACGATAACAGCGGAAGGCTTGGAAGATAAGTGAGTCCATCAACTCCAACGGCATCATTGAGTATAGAACCACGACCTAAAAACTCCTAAATCGTCGTCTGAAAAGTCTGCAACATTAACGTTGCAGCCCGAAACGGGTCAGCACATGGAATATGCTGGCAATGTAACACATAGAGGGTAATGGAATGAAACAGCTATACTATATGCATATTTGACTGGTGGAAAGCTCTATGGTTACAGTTTTGCGTAAAGCCAATTTTTCACTACTTCAAAGGAATAAATTTAATTACTATCATGATAGTTGTTAAACATTGAGAATGGTTGACAGTATCCTCAATCCCAATTAAGCATCATCATTAAACAAAACCCAACAAAATTAATTTAGAGTAACATGTTGAGATTCGCATGATAATCCAAGTACTAGATACTCAAGATGTCCATAACCGGGGACACGGCTAATCATGATTAGTTCATTACACTCTGCAGAGGTTTGTGCACTTTTCCCCACAAGACTCGATCGCCTCCGTTTGGTTTCTCGCACTACAAGGTGTTTGAGAAGATGGATGACCGAGACATAGTCTTTCAGAAGCGCTAGCACCTTACGATCGGGTAGACCGTACCACCTACATTCCCTACATCTGCTAGTCTACCACTGTAAGAGTTCGCACGACTTAGTCAACTATGCTAGAGCCCATAATAGCTTATGGCTGCACACGGAAATTTCTAGTATGAATAGTCTCATGATCCCTTTGAGCCTGGGTGGCGGTCCGAAAGAAAACATGCAAGTCCTGGAATACTCAGGTGCCTCAATCCACCCAGATGTGTGTTTAAGTTGCCACCTTAGATAAACCATTAATTAACAAACTCACATATGTCATGGATATCACTCACCCAATCCATGTCTACTAGCATAGCATGGCATAATAAGCAAACGCAGAAGTAACTCCCAAAGATTTGATAATAAACAGGTAATAGGTACTACCTCAACTACTTCCCATCCCA